TCTCCAAAGAAGGGAGCATTTATCATTTTTCTTTGCATCTTTTAAGATATCGTGCAAAGGAACTCGGACGTATTTGGTAAGGAGCGACAATAGAATTTTTTCATGGCTAAAAAACATCCAAGTCGACTTATAGTGGTGAGTTTGAGGAAGTCAGTAATTATTTTCATTTATTCTGGCAGGGGTTTTACACTTATGGCAGTGATAAGGCAACCTAAGAAGGAAATAGATGGTTTTCCGAGTACACATTTGTTAGGATTTGAAGTCAAACCGTATTTATTTAAACAATCGTATACTTGATGGAGAGGATTGACATGTTCTTTTTCGTTAGCTGATGCAATAATGATGTCATCAAAATGCAAAACAGCAGAAAACCAGTCCAAATAAAACTTGGTATATAAAACGTTGGAAGGTCTGGCCTAACTTACTTGAATTAAATGGCATGGCCAGGAATTCGAAAAGACAGAAAGGGCTGGTGACAGCAGTTTTTTGGATGTCATCAAGCTTAACGGGTATCTGATGATACATCCGGGTTAAATCAAGGGTTGAAAATGTGGTTTATCCAGAGAATATATGAGTACAGTTTTTCAATGTGGAGTATAGAGTACCTACTTATCGAGTATCTTGACTGCATTTAAGCAACAATAATCTACACAAGGCTGCCAATCACCATCAGCTTTCCAAGCCATATGCAGGACAAGCGCCTGGCCCCAGAGTACAACCCCAAGCTCTTATTGGACATGCCTTGTGATGTTATACAGTGGCGAAAAAATTTCTCCACAGCAGTTTTGGGCTCCAAAAGCTTGAGCCTGAGGTCAGCAATGAGCGACGATAGAATAATTTGCCATATTTGCGAAATAATTACAAAAATAAAAAGCAGCTTCAGAAACATATTATGAATAATGCATGGTATTAGAAAAAAAGGTGCAATTCAGTGTGCAGTCGATAACTGTTTAGCAGTATTTTTGTCATTAGGTGAATATTTCATTAGGTGAAGTCATTTGGCAATAAACACTTTATATAAGATATAAATGTTAAGAAACACAAAACAATAACGAATAAAAAAACAGCATGATAACTCCAGTTGACAAAGTCAAATAAACGATGTTATTATTAAAATTACATTGCAAAACTGAAAGAAATCTCTGATATTCTGCCACAAGACTATTTTTGCAAATATTTAAACAGTTTTAAGAAATTCATGTTAGGTGAAACAACATGAAAGTCTAAAAAATCAGTATCTTCATGTTATCTAATCGCGAAAGTTTCACTTCCTTGTTTAAAAACATGTGTATGTTATTCATCATATTACGTCACCATGGTGTGATGATCTAACTAGGTGTTGGCCCCCAAAGCCGAAGTGAAAGAGCCAATACGGCCTGCAGCCTAAACCATTTGGAGACTTTTCCTGTTCTTCGTGAAGCAAATTCATAATATACAGAATGCTTTCATGTGATGCAAAAATTACTAAACTGTCAGTGCTGGTTAATGACAGCTTTCATATTCATTTTAAATGCAATTTCTAAAAACTTATGGAAAAAATAAACACTTTTTATAAGATATGAAAGTTAAGGGGGGGGGATGCATGATAACTCCAATTGACAAAGACAAATAAACAATATTATAGATGCTCTAAAAATATCTTATCACTTTATCTTATTTTTAATCATAAATGAAGAGAAATTAATGCCTAGAATTAGAAAGTAAAAATTAATCTGATTACGAACAATTTTGATTCCAAACAATCTCTATATAACAAACAATCAATAAATGAAAGGAAGGTTATTTAATTAACAAACATTTCATTTTTATGAAGAAATAACTAGCTTTTGCATTTATATCACTTTTAAAAACACTTTTCTGTAAAATAAACTGCCGATTCATGAAAACTGCGGCAGACAAGATTATTTATACAGTAAGAGTTAAGTGCTATTTGTTGACTTTGCTGAAGAAGCAAATCTTGTTAATGTATCCTGCTATATGAAATTATACAATATATTTCCTAAATATCAGTATAGCGCTACGAATTGCACTGAATATAGATGCTTAGCCAAACGGTATTTACGCATCAAGTTTTATCGATTCCCAATTATCATGATTTAACAATTTAGATAAAAAGTGCCGATATATTTTCTTATACTGTTATATTTGTTTTAATTGCCAATATTCTGTTACATTGCATAAATTCACATTAACACAGAACATAACCAAGATCAAAGTAATACAAGTTCCCCTTGACATAATTTCAAACGAAACAAATAATGGAAATCTTTTCAGCCTGACGTCATAAACGGCAACCAATAAGAACAGGGTGATGATACTTTGATACTTGACAGTTTGGCTGGCCTCAGCGCAATATCTATCGCGCTCTTACCAGCACCTCAATTATCCCTGGGTAGGCCAAACCTCGCATGAAGATCTTCGAGTGGTAAACCCTGTGAGAAAGGGAAATTAGTAGTAAATTAGGTCCATACCTGTGAGAAAATAAAATAAAAGTGAAATAGTGGAAAGGAATATGCCAATTTTTTAGATATTGTATGTAAAAAGATGAGTAGCATACGGGCGGAGATTAAAGTCTTCTTCCAGGAGTTTCGTACCTGAAATTATCTGCATAATTAACAATGTTAGTGTTGGTCGCCTTGGTATAAAAGTTATTATTTATTTTCACAATGTAAGTTTTGATGTCATCTAATTTTAGGTCTTTGTGTAGGTCAGTGTTTCTAATGAACCATGGAGCTCCCTTTATTTTTCTAAGAAAGTTATTTTGAATGGGTGGTGGCTGGGGCCAGGCGCTTTTATATGCAGGGGACTTGCCCAAAGACTTTTTTAAAGCCGATTGATGCCATTTGACATGAGAATTTCAATTTCTTAACCTGCAGTTTGAAGTAATTCAGCAGAAGCAGGTAATTTTCTAGTTTTTGTGAAAATAGGATGACCTTTAGTTTCGGTGTGATGGAGAACTGTTGAGGTTCATTACCTATGACAAATTTTCGACAGCTTTGTAGATTTAATTGGCAAAAATTTTATCATATTTTGAGCTCCCGACCACAATATGAATGTTGGTATTGAGCGTATCACCGTTGTTCTTGTTCCACAAGATTATAGTCTTGTGGTTAGTCTGCCACAAGAATAAAATCTTGTTTGTCCATCAGATATACGATTGTTTTTACAATTAATAAGTAAGTTCAGTTTTGAGAGAAACTCAACACATGTGATGGGTGATTGACATCTGCAATGACACAGGTAAATGGTTTAACACAATTTTAAATTGATAATCAAACATTTGATGCCATATGTTGGTATTTTTATGCCATAGCGGCGAAGATGGCTAATGATATAGGATTGTTTGCATGCTGATAGTAGCTTTTGGGTATAACTCAACCAGGAACCTCCTTGGGTATAACTGATATATTGGGGTTGGTATCGAATAAAAAAAGCCATGAATCGGACAGAAGAATTTAATTAATTTGGCGGTCGTAGTGTTAGCCATCGGGTGACTGCCGATCTAGTTTTCCCTAGAAACTGCATGGAGAAATACATTTTAGTGTCCTTGAACCAAAGTGAGTGTGATAGAAGCAAAAGTTACTGATCAGTTCTTAAACTGTCAGTAGCATCCGTTAAATCTGCTACTCCTTTTATCATTTTTAGAAAGATTGACTTTACGTTCACGGGGGCGTTTGTGTTTGTTTTTTACGGCTAGTGAGAGTTCATTTACTTGCTTCGCTTGCACTTTTGCAATTTGCTGCTGAAAGAGGGATGTATATGCTATGGCAGTGCTATTGATGCATGCAAGTTATTCATTGCACACAATACGATAGGGCTAGAAGCATTCTGCTGGAGATTGGAAAACGCTAATCATTTGGCTGACTCTCCTGATTCACTGTAATAAGAATCCTTGGAGATATCATATCCTTGGTAACTTTATCTCCATATGTATTCAGAATTAATTGCATTACTATTTCATTAGAAAAGTGTTTGTTACCGGATTGACGCCCCCTCTGCAGTGCAGGGAATGCGTCCTTGTAGTTAGATAATACAAGAAGCATTGTGCATGCTTTAGAGCAGGAGACACCGGAAGTAAGCCAGGCTTCACAAAAAAGTAGGTCACATATCAACACAACCGAAGGAATGTAGTAGCATATTATAGTTCAGCTGTCTCACTATAACAGAAATCGTTAACTTAAATACCTGTATATTTAACAGAATATATGCTTTAAAAGCAGTATGCAGGAAATGAACTGGGCCTAGGGATAAAAATGTTTGAAAATTTCGCTGAAATATATAATGCTGACTTTTATTTGTAATTCAAGTGTATTATCAAGGAATTTTCAATCTATATGCATGTAAGTTTTCTAAATCTGCAACAAATAAATAATTCATAAACATATGATCCAAATCGAGGTAGGGGGGCCTTTTTCCTCAAGGATAAAAGATATAGAAATTGCTTGAAAGTAATTTTGTTTTTTAACTCTGGGTCCAGAAATTTAAATAAATTGAATAGAATTCCCTCTTAATCTTCAAAGAAAAACACAAAAACAAATAAATGGACGAATAAATAAATAAAAATTAAAACAAAATTAAATATGAATACTTGCAGCAAATTTTCTGATTTAATATAAGAAAAATTCAAATTATGATGCTGTGTTACTTATAAATTTAATAACACTGGAATTCTGTAATGAGAAAACATAAATGAAAAAATGTAAATTTGATGCCTAACTGCTATAGCAATGAATAAGAACCATGGGAATTCTCCTACCTATATCAGGACTATATTCCTAGGGTGAAGAATGCTGCATATTAAAGATTGACAAGATTTTTAGTGATAGTTACACTTGTCATGAAAATGGAGTTACATGCAAGCTATCCTTTTTCTGTTGTTAACTACCATTGCATACTAACCCTTATTTTATTTCTTTTGTTTTCAAATCATTAAGTGCATATATCTAGAAAATTACCTGTCTGCTGATATATAAGTCCATTATTTTATTTATGTGAAACAGGAAATACGTTTACAAAAGAGGGAGTCTGAGGTACAACAGCTGAGGCTGGAGTTGAATACTAAAGATAACCTGTGTGCTGATTTAGTAAGCATAGTATTTGTAATTGTTTTATATATCTTAGAATGTTATTTTATTATGCATATATATTTTGCTAATTAATGCTAAAAAACAGACAACTTCTAAATAAAATATTTCTATAAAATAGTCTCATCACAATATACAAAACTATAAGAAAATTGACAAGGCATGACTGCATATGTAGCAAAATTTTTAATCTTTGATAATGGCCAATTTTCCTAAGAGCTATAAGAAAACATTAGAAAGAAAATCAGTAAATAGTTACAACAAACTACTGTAGGATAACCAGAAATAGACATAAATAACTTCAATAGGTATAACCCTGCAGGAGCATTGTCATACTTATATTAGTTCAGCAAGCAATTCTACTAATCACTGAATGCATGTTAATGGCTGTGAAAAAATAGCTCCTATGCTAGAGGAATGTCTATTAGAGGAGCAGTGACATACGATTGATTTTTTTCACTGCTACTTCATTTCCATGGTAAAAAGTATTAGATTGTAGAGACATTATGTAATTTTTTGGAAGCAGGTAAAGTGAAAAATGCGCAATCGCCTTTGCCGGGAATCGAACCACAGACCTCTGGAATACCGGCCCAGCATGCAGAGCCACTGCACCATGAGTGAGTGAGTGAGTGAGTGATTATGGCGCAAAAACCAGAGATGATTATGACGCGCCAAACAAAAGATGAGATGATTACAATTGATGACATTAAAATTCAATAAATAAAACAAGTAGATAAATGTACCAAATCCAGAGGATGAAGTCATATAAAAACAAGTTAAAAGCACATATTAACATTCAAGACACAGTCTTCAAAACAAATTACATTTGGTAATAAAAGCCAATCTCTTTTAAATAATAAAATAAATTAGAATTGACCTCTCTTCCGATTAAACGGTCGAGAGGTAAGTCACAGCTATTAAAATATTTCTGGCGAAGACTATTAAAACATTGACACTCAATTAAAATATGACGAACAGATAAACAAACATTACAATTAAAACAAACAGGCTCATTTTCAGCTTTAAGAAGATAGCTATGTGTGACTCTGGTATGACCAATTCTGAGTCGAGTCAAAAGAACGTCCTCTTTACGATTTCCAGCAAAATCCCAATGCTCAATTCTAGGTTTGATGTTTCTCAACTTGTTGTGATGCTGAACATCCCAAATTTGCTGCCATTTTTTTCGTATCTTTCCCTTGATGACACAGCAGATGTCTCTAAAAGGGATAAGGCGACTGGACAGTTCGACAGCAGATTTTGCCGCGATGTCTGCAAGCTCGTTTCCCTTTATTCCCGTATGCCCGGGAACCCAGCAGTACAGGATTTCATATCCTCGTATCATTAAATTTCTATGAATTTTGAGAACATCCACTACCACAGGATTCTGAGCGTTGGGAAAAGCTTCCAAGGATTTAAGAGCACTATACGAGTCTGTGTAAACTATGAACTTTTTGTGGCAGAGCTTTGAGATGTACAAAAGAGCATAATATATTGCAGTTAGTTCAGATGTTAGGACAGAGAAAGCATGGTGCAGGCATCTGCCCTCTATGTAATTTTCAAATACAAAAGCCATCCCGACATGATCATTTGACTTTGATCCATCTGTGTATATCGGATAATAACTGCTATATTTGTGCCTGTGCTCAGCGAAAAGTTGTCTGTAAACGATCTCGTTAGTGCTCGCCTTTACGTGATGTTTAAAAACATCAAGAAGCTGGATCCGTGAATTTTCCCAAGGTGGAATTTCAAAATTCTGTACTGCTTGGGGGTGCATATCAGAGAGGGAGAGTTCCTCAATGACAGGGCGAACTCTTAAAGGGAAAGTAGGAACACAGGATGGACGTGTTTCAAATAATGTGTTACACTCATTATCAAGTAAGCACAGCTTATTGGGATGTTCAGGTTGAGATAGAGTATTAAAATATTGCAAAAGGGACAATTGCTCACGCCTCAGATAAAGTGATGGTTCGTTACAGTCAACATATAGGCTCTGCACAGGAGAAGTCCTGAAAGCTCCTGAACAAATCCGCAGACCTTGATGGTGAACAGGATCCAGTTTTAACAAAACAGATGAGCGAGCGGATCCATAAACAACTGAGCCATAGTCCAGTTTAGAGCGGATAAGCGCTCTGTAAATGCGAAGCATGGAGCAACGCTCTGCACCCCAGGAGGTGTTCGCCAACACTTTTAAAATATTTAGTGTTTTTAGACACTTCTTTCTCAGGTTTAAAACATGAGAAAGGAAAGTCAATTTTCGGTCGAACGTCACTCCTAAAAATTTTACTTCAGGCGCAACTGGAATAATTGTACCATTCAAGTATAACTCAGGTTCAGGATGGAGACCTCGCTTCCTACAAAAGTGCACGCAGACAGTTTTCTGTTTCGAAAATGTAAATCCCTGTTTGTCTGACCATTCTTGGATCTTATTCAGAGCCATCTGCAGTTGCCTCTCTACATATCTCATGTCTGCTCCTCGACAGCTAATCTGCAGATCATCAACATATAGAGATCCCAAGATGGTGGGAGGAAGTTCTTTTAGTACAGAATTTATTTTTAAACTAAAACAGGGTTACACTGAAGCACACAGCCTTGAGGCACACCCTCTTCCTGTTCAAAAACATCCGAAAAAACAGAGCCAATTCTTACTTGAAAAGTTCTAGTGTTCAAGAAATTTTGAATGAAAATTGGTAGGTTGCCGCGCAAGCCACTCTCGTGAAGATCCCGGAGTATACCGTATCTCCATGCCTTATCATAAGCTTTTTCAATGTCGAAGAATATCGAGACAAGGTGGCTTCTTCTTACAAATGCTTTTCGAATAGATGTCTCTAAGAGGAGCATGTTATCTACAGTTGTTCTTCCCTTTCGAAAACCACTCTGATAAGGCGATATAATATCATTCTTTTCCAAGAAGTAGACTAGGCGGCTGTTTACCATCTTTTCAAACAGTTTGCAAACACAGCTGGTAAGGGCAATTGGCCGATAGTTCGAGGGATTCCTCGGGTCTTTCCCTGGCTTCGCAATAGGAATGACAATAGCTCTCCTCCATGCACTGGGAAATGTACGCTCCTTCCACACTCTATTGTAAAGTGTGAGAAGGGCACTCAGTGACTTACAGGACAGATGCTTTAGCATTTCATAATACACGCCATCCAGACCCGGACAAGACCTATGTGTCTGCAACAAAGCTCTCTTTAATTCAACCATAGTAAAGTCTCTATTGTACGGCTCAAAGTTGGAAGAGTTGAAAGCGATGGGATTTTTCTCAGAGCGTTGCTTGATAGAAAGAAATGCAGGTGAGTAATTTCGGCTGGAAGAAACGGCAGCAAATGTCTCACCAATTGTATTTGCAATTTCTTCTATGGAGCTAATCACTCGGCCATCTTTTTCCAGAAAGGAAAGTGAGTGGTCTTTATACATTCCGCATGCTTTTCGAACTCTTTCCCAAACCCGCTTACTAGGCGTAGGATGTTATTGAGGATGTATTGAGGACACATATGAAATCCAGGAATCCCTCTGGCTCTGCCTTCTTACTTTCCGTGCATTTGCTTTGGCTCTTTTAAAAGCTATGAGGTTTCGCAGAGTAGGATATCTACGAAAAATACCCCATGCTTTTTTCTGTTTTTTCAGTGCTTCATGACAGTCGCGATTCCACCATGGTTTCGAATATTTTAGTGTTTTTCCTGATGTTCTAGGAATCGAAAGCATAGCTGCCTGAATAATAGTATTAGTAACAGCTTCAACAGCGTCATCGATATGCGCATCTTCTACCATTTCATCTGTGAGCTCTGCAATGGAAGAGAAGAGTTCCCAGTCTGCCCTGTCCAGGATAAAACGAGGGACTCTCGACACGGGGTTTGCTCCTCTTCGTGCAAGAGACACAAAAATAGGATAATGATCGCTGTTGTACAGGTCATTTCCGACACTAAAAGTGCAAAATGGCAACAGAGATGGTGAACAGATGGCAAGATCGAGAGCGTGGAATGTCCTTGAAGGCTCATGGAAGTACGTATCTTGCCCATTATTTAGGAGACAAAGGCTATGATCTTCGATCATCTGCTCAATTTGTCTTCCTCGGCAATTTGTATCTTTACTACCCCAGAGTGGACTATGGCCGTTAAAATCTCCTATTATGATAAAAAGGCTCAGGCAGCTGCTCTATTAGATTATTTAAATCTTGCTGATAAATGTGCTCATTTGGAGGCAAATACAAAGAAACAAATGAAACAACAATATCAAAATTTATTTGAGTAGCGACAACTTGGAGGGATGTCGTCAAAGGAAGTACATTTGAGGGATAATCCAGTGAGGAGAGGAGACCTACACCTCCACTGGCACGCTCACCTGCAAGGTTATCCTTCCTGACGAAAGAAAACCTCCGAAGTTTTGCATGGTGTTCTGGTTTCAGATTTGTTTCCTGTATTGCTAAGCACACAGGATGATACACATTTATTATAGATTTGATGTCAAGCAAATTTCGGTGGAAACCGCGACAGTTCCATGACACGAGGGTGGCCATTATGAATGGTTTTTTTTTCGGTGCTGTTTTGTTTTTCGTGGAAGTAGATGCCTGGGAACTTCTAGACCCTCTTCTACTTCCATAAAGTCTGAATCCGCAGATTCAGAAATCATCTCATCAAAGAGCTATTGCTGTGACTTCTATTTTTATTGGATATTTTTTGTGTAGAAGTTTTGGGCTTACTTTGAATAACTGTTTCTTTCTTTTGTACTATATGGGTTGCATTTTCTTTTTCTTGTTGGATGTAGACGGTGGTGGGTTTTATTTGGTAGGGTCTGTGTGCCTATTGATGTTTGGGTGGCGACTGTACGAGATGATTTTAACAGCACTGGCGTATGATGTATTTGGTCGAAGCTGTGTGCTCTGGACTAATCTTCTGGCTTCGGCATATGAGATGTTCCTCGTAACTTTGCAGTCTGCACTTCTTTTTCCAATTTCCATTTTGGGCAGAGGCGTGAAAATGCTGGGTGCTCACCCTTGCAATTTATACAAAGAGGCGCAGCGGTACAATTTTCAGAATCGTGGCCAATCTGTGAGCATCGGGCGCATGTGAGGCTGCCACGACAAGACGTCTTAGAATGGCCGAAACGCTGGCATTGGAAACATCGCATAGGGTTTGGAATATAAGGTCTTACAGGAATATTTAGATATCCGGCCTTAATATTCTTAGGCAGATCAGGCGTGTTGAAGGTAAGGATCACGTGTTTCGTGTCTATCAACTTACCTTCTTTACGCATCTTGATCCGCCTTACACCGCAGACATTTTGTTCGGATAGCTCAGAAGCGATCTCTTCTTCAGAAACATACAGAAGGTCGAATTCTGAGATTACACCCCGACAATAGTTCAGTGACTTATGTGGTGTTACAGTGACATTCGCTTGCCCAAGTTTAGTTATCTGAAGTAAAGAAGCAGACTGGGTGGCTGAGGTTGTATCAATAAGCAAGTCTCCGGAGCGGAGACGCTTTATATTTCTCGGCTCACCAATACAGGACTGGATGTATTTGTTTATTACGAAAGGAGACATCTTATGCATTTCGCCAGAAGGACTAGAGATGACTAGGAAACGGGGAATATTGTTATGATTTTTTTCATTTGTATCTGTACGTAATTTTTTTGCAGTAGACTTTTCAGAAGTAGGTTGAGTGAGAGGTTGAGTGAGTGGTTGAGTGAGTGGTTTAGCAGTAGACGTTTCAGAAATAGGTTGAATGACTGGTTTAACAGTAGATGTTTCAGAACTAGGTTGAGTGACTGGTTTAGGAGTAGAAGTTTCAGAACTAGGTTGAGTGACAGGAGTGATTTGAGTGACTTGAGTGACAGGATAACTTGAGTGACTGGAGTTACCTCGAAATCTTTATTAAAGTAAATATGAGAAGCCATAGTGAAAGAATAAAGATTCGGGTCCGACGGCCCCGCCCACCACGGAGCCCAACAAGGGAACACAGATTCCTGTGTTAGGGCTAGCCGGACCTATACGCAAACTGAAGCCCCACAGTCGGCTTTCCCGAAAGCAGGTACTCCCGAGAGCTTGACCCCAAGCCACTGACACAAGGACTAGTGACCAGCCGATTGACACCCGTGAGGACGACTAAGGTGCCTCCCGTTTAGCTGAAGCAGAGGCCAAAGCAGTGTGTTGGGGACAGTACCTCGCCCCTCAACTACCAGGACCCTCCTTTCCAGCGACACGGGTCTCCACGCACGGCAAACACGTGGGCAGTTTTCTCGCCACTCGAAAACTAGAAACAAGGTCTGTTCCAGCCTCTCGTGACGAGCCCCAAACTCCGTAGAGAGAAACCACAAGGGAGAAGGGAAGGGAAAAAGATTCCAGCCAAGAGGAGAGGAGACGGAAAAGAGGATAGATCACTGGGGCTCCAGGATCGTGACACCCGTCTCACCAAGAAGATGATCCCCTGAAGGGCTAGGGTACCTCGGGATTGCCACACCCGTACTCACAAAAGTGAGCCCCCTGAGGGACCACTCAAGGTGCTAGGAAGCAAAATACCTATATTCCCCCTTTTAAGCCATGGGTTTAGGTACCTCGCCAAATCTGGTGGGAGAATCCTCATCCAAACTCTAGTTACCACTGTAGAGACATTAGGTATTTTCGGAAGCAAGAGAGATGAAAAATTAGCAACTGTCTTCGCCGGGAATCAAACCACAGACCTCTGGAATACTGGCCCAGTATGCAGAACCACTACACCACAAAGGCAGACTAGGAAGGTGGGAGAAATACCTTATCATACCATTGTACTGAAGCTCTAGCCAGCATTACATAAATTTGCTAAGGCATCCATACCTATTAGCTGTGTATGTATTGTTGTATCATGACAAGGCCAAGCTTTATACGTTAGGGTCAACCCAAGAGTATCTAGTAGAATTTCAGTGCCAGTTTCTTCAACAGCCACTGTACAGCCCATTTTAGCTCCAAGTAATTTTCATTTGGTTGGTTCCCTTCAGAATTACCTTGGATACATGCACATTTTGTGGATGAGATCCATATGTGACCACTGCAACAACCTGAAGATGTAGGTGCAGCAGATATAGGATGATCATATATTAATTAGATATGAGTCTCAGTGTAGACAGGAGATCAGGAGAAAAAGTAAAGCAGTTGTTGCATAAGTGTTCCAAGCACTTTTATTCTGTGTAGCTATTTTTAACCTGTTAATTGACTACATCATATATTATTTTTAAAATTTTTAATAAGAAATTGATTCTCTTATAGAGGATATTAGACACATGGGTACATGAATTATCACTAAATGAAATAAACTTTCCAATATTAAGCTTATTTGGAAAAACTGCAGGTTACAATCCTATCATTCACGAAGAAAGTAATGTCAAGTTGCAAAGCGAAATCAGACTATATTAGGACTTGTCAAAGTAATAACTGGAAATGTTTTAGTTATAATATAGTTATCTACCACAATTCTTAAGAAAGAATAAAATCTTCCTCTAAAAATATCAAATTCAGGAAAGATGTTTTTGGCATATTATGACTAGTTGTCCAGGTTCTATTGCTCACTGCTTGATATGCACCATTAATTCATGTCCTTTTGGAAGGGATTTATGTCCTAGTATTTTTTATTACATCAACAGCTTGCTTGTGCTAAGAATTTTTATGTATGTAGAAAAGCATATTTTTAATTTATATATTATGCAAAACAAAGCACTTTTTACATAATAGAGAAAGAACTAAAACCATTCACTTAGAAAAACTCTTATTGCCACTTACTTGTAAATACTACTTACATAAATAAAAATTATCCCTCAGCAGCTTATCCATATCCATATCCAGCTATCCCTCAGCGTCTTTAATATCTGACTTCCTATCTTGCCAAAATATATATATAACTGCATAAAACAAGCCATGGTGCCTCTAAGCTTAATATAAACATATATTACAAACATAATATGTTAAGTTTAATACAACTTATGACATGGGTCTGTGTTAGCTTATCAGCTGTCTTATATTTGATGTTGAGTTTTAAAAGTAATGTAATATTAAATTGAAAATACATTAAAATAAATTTTAAATGCAGGAATATCAGTTGCTTTTAACATTAAGGAAAGAAAGAGAACGTCTAAGACAGAATCGCCAAACTCCGTATCAGTTTGAAAATCCAGTAAGTATTCTTATTTTTCTCAAAGTAAATTTTTTGAATGATTTTGTATGAACCATGAATGTGGTTTATTTTCATTCATTTAAAAACTAAAGCATTTATTTAATTTATATTCAAAATAAAAATTTATAAGAAAAAGTAATTTTGTATAAGCTTGGTCATCTGCAGAGCTGGTGTGGGGCTGCAAATTGTGTTGCATTTAAGGAGGTACTGGACAACAGGATCTAGTAGATACTGAGATTGCACTAGGCAGTAAAGCCTAGCTTTTGTATAATTATTATTTTTATGCATGAAAAACGGATCAAATTAACCATAAATTGTATATAAATAAGCCTATTCTCATTATATCCATTATATTTAATAGCTTTTTTAATGAATGATGTATTTATTAAAACTTTAAATACAAATCTTAAATGTATAAAACAATATGCTGTTCACTCTTCTAATGGAGCAACTTTAATAAAAATTTATATTTCATAATGAAATATTTATCTTATTTTGTAATTTTTGTCCCCCCCTTTGAATTAATTTTGATATATTTGCATACATATTTGTAATTCCAAGAGAGTAAATATGGGGATTAACTCCTCATTTAGGAAGGAAGAAAATCTGAAAGGATTCAGATTTTAAAGCCACGCTATATGTCTTTCAAACTTTTTGTTTTAACTCCTACATATATTATAATTTCCTGGTTTTTAAATACAACAATTGCATGTAAAATGGCAATTGCAGCAAATAGTTTTATACAAAAAATAATTGAAAACAAATGAAAAAAATTAAACAATTGAAAACATATAAACATAATTATAAGCCAAAAACAGCAAAGCTATTAAGTTAAAAATATAAGAACAGTCTAAATTTAAAAAATTTTGCACTTTTTCAAGGGATGGACAAAATCGATCTAATTATCACTGTTCTAATATCATGAGAAATCAAGACAACTTTTCTGAAAGCAGTACAATGTCCAAATGTAAACTGAAGTTTTTTTATTCGTTTAAAACTTAAAAATTAAGAGAATCTAGATGTTATAATGTTGCATCCCTGACATTGCCTTATTTCCAGAAAGAAATAAAGTAATGAATTTTTTTTTTAATAAATAGAAAAAACTGCCAAAGAAGCTTAACAAAGCTATGTAATCCAAGTTTTAGCTAATAATAGTTTTAGTTAAATGCCTTCAAAGTTAGTGACACTATTTCCAGAAACTTTCTGTGATCACTGAAAAAAGATTTCAGACAATAAGTTTAAAGGACATGTACTATGTATATTAGTGTGATACCATAAGAAATATGATGAATGAAATTTGAAAAATATGTTTGGTATTTAATATACATTTTGCTCTATATTAAGTATAGAACACTATAACCTAAGTCATATGCAATAGGCACTACTAAACATCATCACTGTGTAATTGCAAATTCATACATGGAGAATGTGTAAGCCAATATTGTATTTGGTAAATGTGTGAAATTTTTCAAATATAATTTTTCTCAGAATATTTAGTGCAATATGACATCAATACAGTGTAAATCACATTCAAGAACAATTTGTGTAATTATCAGAGTGAACATAAACAATAAAACAATTCAAAATACCAGAAAGGGGTTTGCGTTGTGTTTTTAACTGTCGGGCAATAACCCGTTCAATTACTATGGTCCAGTGCAAAAAGAAATTAAAATTAAAACATTACAAAAATAAATAAATCAAATTAACATTTATTTATGGTGACACATTTAAGAATACAAGTTATATTTTAAATTGGTGGTGACTGGTCATCTAAATATCTGAAGAAACAACGGGAAAAAATAATTTGTAAAACATACCTTCTTTAACATATATAAAATTTCACAGTTAACGGATGGGCCCCATCATACAAAATTTGAATTACTTGATACAGGTGAAAACAATGACATGATAACAATCTCGTAGCAGGGAATAATTACTATACGTCAGGAAAATCATCTGTAGGAAGAAAAGAAAATATGAGATAAATAAATTAGTAGAAAGCAACTGTTTTGGAGGCCAGGTATCCCTCCTTTCTGCCATTTCCAACTGGAAGGACACCGATTTTCCCAAATCCACAGGCCATTCTTAAGTCAGGAAATAAGCAATAATTATGGTATCAGTATGCCTTTCTTCTGTGCAGGTTGTTTAAATGTTCGTCACATCCTCGTCTCCGAAGCTGCTGCCCTCCACGCTGTACCATAGAAGGGTCATGTTTTTGTCTCAAGAATGTCTAACTGAAATTTCTTTTCTCTGTTTCCTCATCCCAACTGCGCAGCAACTTGGCGAGTTCCAACCTGGCGAGATCATGAAATAATTGGCGAAATATGATGATCAAAAGAACGCAAAGCACAGCAACCCCAGATATAGAAATCTTCTTGGGAAGGAGTTTCCTGACTACCAGCTTTTGGTGAACGACGCAGTTCAACAGTACAGCCCTAAAGGCCATTTCGCTGGGTCAGCTGCCTCTCTGCTGAAAGAAGGGGGGAGGAAACACTAGCCTCACCCGGGCTGCAACTCCACCATGGCGAACATCCTATCTGACGACTTTTCACTCCTCATAAACTCCCCGTATAACATTTCTACGCTAGAGATGTCAGAGTAACCAGGGTCCCATTTATGTATATCTTCCAGGTGGTAAAGAAATTAGCACCCCTGGCAGGGTACTCAGGGACATGTGGCAAAGAGCTTGACCAAAAGAATTTCAGGGTACAGCAATCTCCAGATAAGGAATTCTGAGAAATGAATACCCAGCCAACAACTTTGGATGTGAAAAGTTACAGAACCAATGAATAGTTTTTCAACACAATAAACGAATTTAGTACAGCAAAAATTAAACTATTATTTAACAATTAAGTTCATTAAAATGTCAACACAACATAAATTGTTTCTTCAGCAGAAATTAAGTATACACACTCATTAACCAGATTGAGTTTCATTTACAATTGATTTACCTTACCACCAGTCAGAAAATATGAATTCAATAAACTTTAATAGAAAGAGGGGTAAAAATTAAGTTACCTTAAGTTAAAAAAATTAAATTAGCACACCAAAAGTGCAGCATTACAACTTTAAAATAAATAAAGTTACACAACCTTAAGGGTCAAAAACAAACAAATACAAAAACCAAGTAAAACTTTTAAAGCAACCAGACCTAAATTTAAAGTTTACAAAATTTACAGTTTAAACTTACAACCAACTTTAAACAACTAAAGCAAAAATTAATAGCTTCAATTACTGATCAAAACTGAATTAAGAAAATAACTTAAAGCTTGAAAAATAATAACAATTAATGCATAACAATTTTAATAAAGATCATATTTCACTGATGAATTTTAACTATGTATTATGTGTATCAAAATTTCAAAATAGTTTTTAAAGAAAGGCAAGCTATTTTGATGGATAATTTATAATCAATGCTTCCCCGTATAGGTAAAAAGAGGGCACTGAAAGGTATTTCATTTTAATAAAATGAGAGATGAAATATTCTTTTTAATAGCACCTGTTCAATTTTTTAATTGTAGGTCTGGAAATTTAAATAACTTTTAGAAATGCAGTGTATATAGGTAGTGTAAGGAAATAATTTTAAATTGTCTAAAAAAGTTTTAACTTTTTAAGATAAATGAAGAATGTCTGAAACTTCGTGGTGGTTTTGAGTTATTTGACAAAAATTCCACCCTGGCTAAATCAGAAGTTGATAGCCACCACGGCCGAGGAAACAATCTGGAGGCTCTTGTGAAGGTAAATATTAATATTTTTGTTATTCAGATTTTGAGAGTTTGCTATGTACAGTACAAAGATCTAAAATCTGGAACTTTGAATTATCAACAACTTTTATATTGGCAATGTTGGCAATGATTAAAGACTTCAGCTTACTCTGTTGTTAAGTGTGTTTAGAAGGAGATATTTAATGGAAATTTCTTTCCATATGCAAAAAATAGATTTTGTAAATGATACTCATAGGCCAAAAGATTATGTTTAGCTCTATTTAAATTGAGAAAATTGTTTTGTAATTCAGATAAACTCAAGATCTGTGCCAGAGCTGGTGCAGCCACACCGGGTGGCAGAATCTAGGAAACGCAAAATTTTTAGAATTCAATGAAATACCAAGCAACAAAATTAAGGGATAACAAATTTTTTTTAATTTAGGAAGGCACTTGGCAGCAGAGTTATGGACCCACAGAGATGGCACTGGGTTGTTAAATGTGTAGTGCTGCCCTAGATAAGATAAATAAGCCTTTTGGAACTCAGATAAATGTTAAGCGTGTGCAAGAAACAGGCTTAAGTATAATAAATAACTAATATAATTCAAGCTTAATATTGTCTGTATGTGATAGAAGCAACACAAAATTTAGCAGAGCATGCCGTCACCAATCTCATGATACATCACCAGTAGTGTAGTGAACACTAGTTAAGCTTTATGATAATTGTTGCAAATTTGAAAGTATTCAAATGTCATGAACAAAGAGCAAAATTTTCTAGTTAATGGAATTTTTAAAGAAATGTGGAGAAGGAGTAATAAATAAAACTGATATAACAGAAGTTCTTTGTTGCAGTTTTTGGTTTAATTACAGCAAAGCACTCAAAGGCTATCTACCTGAGGAGAGGGATGTTTTAGTACAGTACTTGCTAAGGGAAATAGGTTTGTATATACGTTACACATGTGCCTTCATAGAGCTTTTGTACTATATTTAAAAGAACCATTAACCCCCTTCACGACAGCATGTTGCTGAACTTAAAGCCCTTTGGCCCTGGGATGTGTCATATATGCATCAGTCCCAATTGTCTCTAGCAGTCGGGTGATGCACTGATGCTTCGCACACTGCATTGCACTGGTTTAGCAAAGCATCTCCAACATTAGTTACGCTAAGCAGCATCCTTACGCTAAGGGTCTGGTAAGAGGATTAGCTGCTGATGAATATATAAGACATCCGTTCTGAAGGGGTTAAGTGAAGACATTCTTAGAGATACACAAAAAACTAACCTAATTCTTAACTCAGTTACACTGCAGGAATTTTTAACTAAACACTTATACTTCTATAGGATAAATGTATCTCTGTCAACAGTAGAGATCTTTTACAGCTTGGGCTATCAAATAGAAATCACAATGAAATAGTCAAGAGGTTCTAGCTTCAAAAAGGGGGAAAAACTACAACATTAATACTTTCCAAACGTTTGTCAAAAATAATGAACTCCTATAGGTCACAAACCAGAGATAACCCTGTGACACACTTTTATGCGTTTATTAAGCTCAAAACCATGGTCTTTATTTTCTTGATGTACCCAGAAGAATTGGAAAAACATTTTTGTAGAATATTTTTGTGGCTGATTTGGTAAAGATCTCTTGTAGCTTGGGCTATCACATTGAAATAGTCAAGAGATCCTAGATAGTGATATTTGGAGGGAAAGAAGATAGACATTAATGCTGTCCAAACATTTTTTGAAAATAATAGATGCCTGTGCATCACAGACCTGAGGCAAGTCTATGGCATACTTTTATGTGTTTATTAGGCTGGAAACTATGTTTCCTTGATGCACCCAGAGGAACTGGGAAAAGATTTTTGTTGAGTATTTTGGTGGCTGAGTTTCAACGACGAAGTGAGATTATGTTGGCCATAGCATTTTTGAGGTTTGCATTGATGCTGTTGGTTGACCATCAAATAGTGTATTGAACTTTGAAACTGTCTTAGAATCTGCAGGTTTCAGAATAGCCCATTTGGAACATAAGCAAATCTCCAGTCAAGCAGAAAGGATAATGTAGTGCAGTTTTATAGTTTGGATGAATACTCACAAACGTGCACAAGAATCACTTTATTTCACTTTACAAGACATGCAGAAATAGGCAGCTCATGAACAGTGTTGTCCTCTTGGCAATCCTTTCCTGTGATTCTCAACTCTGGGCCAGCAGATGGACATTGCCTGCATTACAACATTGACCTTATGGAGACAGCTCTGCAAAATGGATCTCAAGATGAATATGAGGGTTGCTTAGGAAGAGAAACAAATATAGAGCAATTTGTGCAGCAATTGCTATCACTTGACAATGCAGAATTTTTTGTTAATTCCACTTTTAGTCTACTTTCATTTTTCTCAAATTTCTGCAAAATGGTCAATTCATTCAAAGACCTAATATGTAAAGTGTCTTGAGATGTATTGGAAAATTACAACTCACATCAATGGCTGTGTGAAAGAGCCATTTTAGTGCCTAAAAATGCTATCAAGCTTATTTACCAAAGGCTTCTTTGCAACTTTGTCTTTTGTCTATTGTTTCCACTAATGAATAGAGCAAAGTTTGCATTCATAACTGTTGAGTTTTAAAAAGGTGTATCAGAGGCTGATGATAATTAAGTAGAGTCTTTATTAAAAGATGGAATTAATCACACACATGGCATAGCACACTTCTACATATCACACCAAACTACACTATGACGACTGTTGCCAATACAACCTAAGAAAAATATAAACAGTTTCAGTTAATATACATATAACATCAAATCATAAACCAGGGAGTAAGTGTGATTATTCTCAACACACTTCCCTTAATCACATATTATTTTATATTTATCTCTTAAATAACATAATTCTAGTTTAGGCATGTATTTTGTAAACAAATCAACTAACTGATTTTCACTAGAAACATATACAAGATTTATATCATATAATTTTACTATATCCCTAATATACTTTAATTTCATATCCAAATGTTTTAGTCTAGCACAATTACTTTCATTTAATATTGCTTTAATTATAGACTGATTATCCTCTTAAACTGAAACTTTAATGTCGTCGACTCCTAAAATTTTTTTAGATACATTATAAAATACAGTTAGGTCCTGAATAGCTTTTGCTAAAGCCAAAATTTCTGCTGCCTCAGTAGGACAGAGCAATAGATGTTTGCTTTTAACAGACCAAGTTACAGGACAATCATTAAAGAAAATAATATACCCAGAAATAGATTTTCTATCATATGTATCTGACCCCCAATCAGCATCAACATAAACATTTAACATAATATCAACGTTATTAGATTTACAAAATAATAATTTGAGTTCAGATGTCCCTTTTTAAATATCGAAGAATTCGCTTCAGACCAGCCCATGCACTATTAGTAGCTTGCTCTTGTATCTGACTCAAATAGTTCACAGAATACAGAATATCAGGATGAGTTGTCATAGATAGGTACAACAAAGCACCTAGAAGTTCACGATAAGGGCCATGAAATCTTTCACCATTCACAAAATTTGATAAAGTTGACTTAGGCACTAGGGAGTATCAGATGGCTTACAATCTAACATTCTAAATCTATTTAACAATTTTTCAACATAAGCCTTTTGGCTTAAAGTAAGTTTGTTCTGTGAATATTCAAAACTTATTTGTAGAAATTCATTTGCAACTTCAGCCTTGAACATCTCAAATTCATTTCTAAGTAATTTAATCACAATTCTTACCTCTGAATTATTAGAACCATAAATTAGAAAGTCATCCATATACAGCACAATAAATATTTCACTCTGTTTAGTTCTTCTCACAAAAGTACATGCTTCACAGTTTAGTTGTTGGAAATCTAACTGAATTATAAAATCAGTAAATCTCTTGAACCACTGCCTCGGTGCTTGCTTAAGTCCATAAAGACTCTTAAGAAGCTTGCACACACACGACCACTGTTGTCACTGTAGCCCATTGGTTGTTCCATGTAGATTGTTTCTTGGAGATCACCATTCAGAAATGCAGTCTTTACATCTAATGCATAGATTTCAAGATTCTTTTGAATAATGATAGCCAGCACAAGTCGAAGTGATGATGTACTAATTTACAGGAGCATAGGTCTCAAAGTAATCAATGCCTGGCTTCTGTTCAAAGCCACGAGCAACCAGTCTAGCTTTGTAAACATTGTTTCGTTTGATGCGCAACACCCATTTACAGGATATTGGCTTTTCATCCTTTGGCAAGTTGACTAACTTCCACACTTCATTTTTATTAAGAGAAGCTATTTCCTCATCCATGGCTTTCCTCCATAGGACTTGCTCTTCTTTTGGCAATGTTGTTATATCCTCATATGTTACTGTGTCAAGAGTTGCCACATTAGCTTCATACACAAAGTAATCATTCAACTTTACAGGTAATTTTATATTTCTTCTTTGCCTAGTAATTTCTTCATGACTTTCTTCAAGATTTCTGGATTCTACATCACTTGAATCACATGTTACTTCATCTTTAGCAGGATCTTTACTTTCTATGGAAAAATCATCTTGAACTGAGATACATTTCTTTTCCTCTTCATTGAACAACACATTTCGAGAAACCACAACATGATTTGTGACTGGATCCAGTAAACGATAACCCATGGTAGAGTATCCAATAAAAATCATCTTTTTTGATTTTGGATCCAATCTCTTTCTTAAGTTATCAGGAACTCTCATGTATGCATCAGATCCAAACACCTTAATAATATTGAAATCAGACGGCTTCCCATATTTGAGCTCATAAGGTACATTTTCAACAGTCTGATTTGGAATTCTATTCTTAAGATATGCAGCTGTCTGTGCAGCATAATCCCAAAAGGATTTAGAAAGCTTTGCTTCACATATTAGAGCTTGGGCCAGGCCTTCTCTAAAAGATATCTGTTGGCTCTCTCAGCCACACCATTCAAAGGAGGTGAATATGGAGGAGCAGGATCTATCATAACACCATTTTTCTTGCAATAACGAGCTAGTTCACCAGACACGTATTCCTTGGCATTATCACAGCGGATTTTGTAGAGTTCAGGATTCTGCTTTAGGAAAAATTTAAACACTTCATTTATGTCACTCTTGTGCTTTAAGAGATGCACTTCAGTAAATCTAGAAAAATCGTCTATGATTGTAGCAAAATACTTTTCACCTTCCCTAGTGGGTGGATCAATGGGACCACATATGTCAGTGTGTACCATTCTCATCGGCACATGCTCTCTGCTTCTAGGACCTTTGTTCATAGGAGTGTTGGAATGTTTTGCTAGTATGCACTCTTCACAAAAGCTTGATGGTGACTCAGATACTGGCAAACCCATTTCTTTTAATATTTTATCAGATGAGTGCCCCATGCGCCTGTGCCATAATTCTGCACTATGATTTGCAATGTATGTTGAAGCTTTAACAGGTTCAAATTGACTCACATACTGTCCTTTCTCATTGAGTTTAGCAAACTCAAATTTTTCATTCCTCTTTTCAATAACAGCTACATCGTTCTTAAAAACTACACTCTAACCTGCTTTTTGAATATTATTCACAGATATTAATTGACCATTCAACTCAATCATATATTACACATCTTTAAGTACCGTATATACCCACGTATAAGTCGAGATATTTTGGACAAAAAAAAGACTTCAAAGTGGGGGGTCGACTTATACGCGGGGCCATAAAAAATGAAAAGAATCGGAAGTTCAAAAATTTCTTTATATAATGCAGTTGTTTTCTTCCTGCACTTAAATTGGACGACTTATCAAATAAGTCACTTACTTGAAGTAATTTCATGACTTAAATTATGTGACGAACTAATCACAGAGTTTCATACTTTAACTAGAGTAAGTTTCGATTAAACCAAAGAATTTTCGGCCCCCGAACAACCGATCAATAAAAAAGTTTCACCAACACTCCAAGAAAAGAGAAATGAAGATAGTTTTTACGTACATATAAGTCTTTATAATAGTTATTGTTCATTCATGAAATACTTTTGTTAAAGGCGTACACGTCAAAATTTTAAAAATAGCCCACGCAATAACTGAACAGTTTTGAATATTTCTTTTAACTTTAAAAAAGGGAAAATGCAGATAGATTTTATGTACACCAATCCTTTCTGGAACAATGGCTGACGGCAGTAAGCTTCGTCCGTTGATCATTTTTAAAAGAAAAACTGTACCAAAAAACGTTGCGTTTCCATCAGGTGTGCTGGTTCGCACCCATGAAAAGGGATGGATGGATGCTGACGGAACAGTCAATTGGCTTAAAAATGTGTGGGATAAAAGACCGGGAGCAGCTTTCAAAAAACCTTCTCTTTTAGTATACGATTCTTTTCGTGGACACTTTTCTGAAGAAGTGACAAAACACCTAAAAACGACTGTGGCCGTAATTCCGGGAGGATTGACATCTGTCATTCAACCCCTAAATGTCTGCCTCAATAAGCCCTTCAAAGTAAATGTTAGAAAATATTGGGCAGAGTGGTTTAGTTCTGGTCGACCAACATTTACAAAGGGTGGCAACATTAAAAAGCCCGATATTATATTAATTGCTCAGTGGGTTAAAGATGCTTGGAACGAAATACCCTCTGAAATGATTATAAAATCATTTAAAAATGTTGTATTAGCAACGAACTAGAGGGCACAGAAGATGATGCTGTTTTTGAAAGTGGAAATGACGACGAAGGCTCTAGTAGTGATTGTAACAATACAGAGTTCGAGACTGAAAATATGGATAATGGCGAGCCAATGACAACAGAAGAGTTCTATGAAATGTTTGGCGAATCTGACCATGAATCGAACGTTGAAGGATTTTGATTTTGTTTATTTACCAAGGTATTTTTTATCGTATATTTACTTTTTTTTTTTCCTCAGATAATTTTGAATAAATGTAGTACTTAAAAAAAAAATTTTCGAAGTTTCTCGATCGATTTCGGAAGTGGGGGGTCGACTTATATGCAGGTTTCTTATTTTCTACAAATTTTTTATGTCGAAGTAGGGGGTCGACTTGTACGTGGTATCGACTTATACGCGGGTATATACGGTAATATTTCTCTTCCATTTAATATTCCAGGTATTGTACCAAAACCTTCTACCTTTAAAACATAATTTTTTGAAGCACATGCAACAGTTCCAGAACAAAAGGTTTAATTTCTTCAAACCACTCACCTTTATTACACATGTGTATAGATGCTCCAGAATCCAGAATGAAATTTCCAACAGGCTCTCTAACCAAGAATGATTCTGTAGCCAATTCTCTGTAATCTGATTTATGCTTAAATCTGCAATCTTTCTTGTAATGCCTTGGCCATCCACATCCAGAACAAACTAATTTTATCTTGCAAAGTCACAGCAAAATCTGCTGTTGAAACGTCTGACCGCCTCATCCCTTTTAGAGATATCTGTTGTGTCATCAAAGGGAAGATCAGATATAAATGGCAACAACTTTGGGACATTCAGATACATAACAAGTTGAGAAGGGTAAAGGCTAAAATATTGGCATACTACTTGCAATCATAAGGAACAAGTTCTTTTAACTCGCCTTAGAATTGGTCACACTAGAGTAACACATAACTACCTTTTGAAAGCTGAAAACGAGCCTGTTTGTGAAATTGTAATGTTTGTCTATCTATCACATTTTAATTGAATGTCCTATCTGTCTATCACATTTTAATTGAATGTCCATATTTTAATAGCTGTGACCTGCCTCTCGACCGTTTAATCGGAAGAGAGGTCAATACCAATTTATTTGACTACCTGAAAGAAACAGGTTTCTATTATTTAATTTGATTTTTGTCTTGAGATTTTATGTTAGAATTTTAATGAATCAGATATTTTAAGATTTTATATCTATATTGCATATGTCATTATCTGAATCATAATCAACATTTTCATCCCACCATTTCACTATCTTTTTATGCTGAAATACGAATCCTGCGTTTGGCGCATATGGCCTATAGAGCTTTGTGCCATAAATCTACCACTACCACTTATCTTGCAAAGCTTGGCAATATGACTTTTACATTTGTGGCAGATGATATCACACTTATCAGCACTAAAAGCTACATTATTACTTGAGCCAGAAACATGAGAATCATAAGAATTTCTTTCACCTGGCAATTCTTCAGTATTCAAGAGTCGATTTAATAATGTCGTACTCTGCAGGTAGCGACATCAACAAATAAATAATCATATCCATATCTTTGACTTCAGCAACCGAGTGTCCCAGTTCATTTGCGATCGCCAACAGTTCGTTAATATGTGACTGCATACTGCAATTTCGTCATTTCTTCTGTGTCAATAATTTATTTTGTACTAATATTTGACTAACTGCACTCACATTCAGGTATTTATTCTTTAAACTGCTCCAAATTTCAGAAGATTCACTTGACATGGTCGCCAATATGGCATCATATAGAAGGGTTAGCAGCAATGCGTAAGCCTTTTTTTGCATCTTTGATTTCAGCAACTTTCGTTTCATCCACTTCAACGTCTAAATATTTATCAAGTTCTTTGGCCGCAAACACAGCTTCAACACGGCACTTAAACAGAGAAAAGTTTTTACTGTTAAACGGCTCGACACAATACCTTGTGTTCTCATCACATGCTGCCATTTCAAATTTCACTTAACGCGTGGTTCCGTTCCAAAAAAATAAGTTCCACAAGACAAATATAAATGCTTCGCCTCTAGCATGTTCAATATTAGAACCACTTTCTGCTGTTAACATTTTAAAAGGTGAATCAGAGGCCGATGATAATTAAGTAGAGTCTTTATTAAAAGATGGAATTAATCACGCACATGGCATAGCACACTTCTACATATCACACCAAACTACACTACAGCGACTGTTGCCAATACAACCTAAACAAAATATAAACAGTTACAGTTAATATACATATAACATCGAATCATAAACTAGGGAGTAAGTGTGATTATTCTCAACACGAACAAAATTTTTAAATGCTTTTGAGCCTCAGAAATGCTGTCACATAAGTTCGTTTTAACGAATCATTTTGTTATGTAACATAGACCCGCCAAAGCGGTGCACCAGAACATAGCTGGTCATGAAGAATATATTCTAGATGTAATTGAGACCAAAATTATCATGGTGAATTCTGTAGGTGAAGAAGTATTCATTTTTTGCATTCCATTTAAACTTAGTGATTCAAATATGCAATTTGATTTCAAGCAATCACAGTTTCCCATTCAGCTTGCATTCACCTAGAGTATAAACTAGGTACAAAGACAGTCACTTTGGGTGGCAAGTATTAACTTGGAAACACTATGTTTTTCAAATGGCTTGCTCAAGAGTCAGCATACCAGATAGTTTTTCATTTATAGTCAGATAGTTTTTCATTTATAGTCCGAACAAACGAAAAACATTGTATACCCTCAACCTTTGCTATAAAGTGTGCAATAAGATTATATTTGTTTCCTGTTTAAGTAAAATTTGCAGTTTTATTCGAGCTTGGGGAAATTTTGCACAATTCAACGTGAACCAACGAGGAAAATCATTACCTTCCTAAGATTTCAATATTACTCCCATCGTCCTAAGAAGCTTCTTCATTCTGTGTAAAACCTGGGAATTGCTGGTTACATCAGCTAGTTTTTTTATAATATTTAGGTTCTTATTTACTATAAAATCAATTGTATTTTCCTGGAATTAAGAAATTAAAAAAATTTCATGTTTTTTTATGAATATGACAAGCAGTTCCATATGCTGGCATATGGAGTCAATGGCATATGGGAAATGAAAATAGAAAGTCTTCAACTACATTAGCCTAATAGTAGAACTGTGTTTGGCAGACAAATAAATTTACATAATATAGAAGTGCAAAATTGGTAAAAATATTGTTTATGGTGTAATAATGCTACAAAAATAATTTTAAAGAATTTCAGAAAAAGGTACCCTCAGTATAATAATTAGAATTTACTAACAAAATCAGATACCTTTGTGTAGGTAGTAGCTTTTATTATTATTATTATTATTTTTTTTTTTTTGATGATTATAACTTTGAATCATATCAAAGTATTCAAAAGCTTTATTACTTTAGCAAAGAAGTCTGTTATCTAAAAGTGTATATTTTCATATATTCAACAGTTTTCTCATAAAATTTGAAGCTTTGCTTATATATATAATATATTCTTTTCTAAAGAAACATTTCAAATTGCGTTCTTTAGTTCTTGTATGTTTAAAATAAAAAATACATAATTAAGTGAAACAGAAGAATATTTGTAATTTTAATTGCAAATTAAAAATAATTTAAGCATATGCGAGAAGCTGCCGAAAAGCGGAAAGAGCTAGAAAAACAATATGCAGATGCTGTTGCTGAGCTTCAAAAGAAACAGGAGGAGTTTCGTCATGTCCACCATAGTGGCAAATCAGAAAAACATCATGCTCAAGAAACTATACAGTCTCTTGAGGTATTGTTTATCTTTATTATAAAACTGAGCATCTATATTTTTATAAGACTGTGCTGTGTAGTAAATTTATGTATACAGTCAAAAGTCGTTAATCCGGACTCGTCGGGACTTCGGCGATTCCGGATTATCGATTTTTCCGGATTATAGATCATCAGTTTAAATCTCGTAAGATGGCATGCAGAAATTCTAAAATTAAAAATATGAAACCGTAATTTATGAAATAAAGAACAATTATGATCTAAAGGGTATCAAAATTTGCAAAAAGAAAAAGCTTAATATTTATTTGTTTACTTTAAAAAACATTTCATTCAATGTAAGTTGTTTAAGTTTTGCTTCGTTTCATGTGATAATACTTTCTCTTTAATTCTATTAAACAGACATAATTTCTTGTTCAGTTACAAAGTTCCGCTGTTCAAGTCCTATAATTGCTGTGTCAAGAACACCGACTAATTTGTCAATCGAAATTTTTTCGTTTTCAATAACCTCTGTTACTTTTCTTCGCTATCGGAAGCGAATTATAATGACGAGGAACTTGTTTTAAATCATATCAAAGACGGAGCATATCGAGATGAAATACTACATTTGGTGAGGAATTATAAGCCAAATAAAATAAAAACATCTGATCTTCAATTATAAGCCAAATAAAATAAAAACATCTGCCCTGAAGATAAGGATAGTGTTGACAGATCAACTTCCAATTCATTACGCGCCCGCCGCGCGGCGTTCCCCCCGCCGAGCAGCGTGAAATTGATAAACAGATTTCGGATTTCAAAACATACTTTCGCTTTAGATCCTTTACATATTAACAAATATATAACGGAAATTCTATTTGATATAATCGAAAGTTTAAGCTTACTTTTATAAAATTGCTCTTACAGTCTGCAAAAAATAATAAGCCGGATCCAATTCGAAAATTAAGGAACAACGCAATCATCAACATTAACTGAAATAGATAATTAGATAATTTTAGCTTATACGTCCATTATACATAAAACGCGCACGCGAAAACGTATTCTGCACTTGCGCACACTCATATGCGCAGTCGTAAAAGGTCTTACGCGCACGCGTAAACGCCTATGCGCATGTGTCAACGCGGCGCATGCGCAGAAAGTTTTTAGTTTTGAGGTCCGGATTATAGATCATTCCGAATTATGGGTGTCCGAATTAACGACTTTTGACTGTATAAGAAACATGCAATTTTAATGTAATCAATGTAGAGAAAATTCATAAGGTTTATTAAGATGATTCTTTCAGTTTTACTGACTTTTAAATGTTAAAAGCTTTTATCACTTTAGTTGAGCCAGTTATTAATTAAACTGTAGTCAATGAATAATTTTTTTTTTTGAAAGAAAAAAAAAAAAATCTTTTCTCTAAATTGCAATGCTCCACCATACAAAACTTTTTAACCTTTTATTTTAAAATTTTCCTCCTGGTCTTAGTATTATGGTAAGATACTGCCTTTTAAAGAACATATTTAAAATGTTATTGATTGAAGGAAATCAAAAGGTCAATGTGCTCTCAAGGAAGATGAAATTTTGCTTTGTATATTTGAATGTGCTGTTGCATTCTCTCTCCCCCCAAAAAAGAGGGTGAAAAATAAAACTTCAAAATCCTATTGGATTTTGATAATTGTCTTCTATTATTATTCTATTAGGTTATTGACAGTGTACTGTGTAATGCACATATATTAGAATTTGGATGTGGATTGGTGTTTATGTAGTTTCTGAGAATGATGAATATTCATTAGTTATGACTTAGAGGCATCGTTTGAGTGAAGGGCAAAAATTTTAGTTGATTCATGGAGAGTCAAACTTAAATGAAGCTTTCGCCAGATTTGGTTAATCCTGAGACTGTCAAGAACCATGAACCACTTTTTAAGTAATAAATCAGTTAGTAGACAGCCCATTCAAGGGTGGCCAATCTGAAGACTATTCTCGGTTACTGTTCGCTCAAAGCGAATACAAGAGAGTTGGCTTTAGACCTTAGGGAGTTGACCACAGGAATTTGAATCAACTATTAGACTGCTTCATAGAGACAACATAGTTAGACTTATGCAGGAAAACCAATGGTTTGTGTCTCACTCACTTTATCTTTCAAAGCAGCTCATTTAAAATGGCATTTTCATCATATTCGATGGCGCCAGGTGGTATCTGAATATCTACTGTTTGTTAATGTTTCAGATATTGCCTGAACTGTGCTTCTAGATGTGTTTTCATCTAAAAGGAGTGAAGGACACGGATGGTTTTTTTTTTTTTTTTTTTTTTTTTTTTTCCATGGAATCATCCATTTCAACCGGAGCAGTGTCATGGTTTGGAGTAGAATCACCAAGAATGTCTGTACTGAGTTGCATATCTTTGATGCAAGGTGTATAACTTGTCACAGATATGTCGATGTGATCTTAGGATCCAATGTAAGGTTCTCCAAAGATGCTATTGGCTGAGAATTTTTTGCTAATGGATAACAATATATATTTGCCATGAGCACCGCTATCAGATTACTTGGAAACAGAAGATATCACCTGAACGGTTTTTCCAGCTTATTCACCACATTTGAACTTGATCAACCATGCATAAGATGCCATAGACTGCCAAATTGCAGTGCATCAAATGATCCCCAAACATTCCAGGATCTTAAGAATGCATTTTATGTAGACATCAGATAGTGGACAGTAAACAGAGTTTGATAAATTCTATAATATCAAGATGTAAGGTTTGTTTTTCTGTCAAAGGTAAACTAGCACCATAACTAAAGAAAAGACTTGCAAAACAGGAGAGATAATTTTCCCATAATTTTAAATTTTCATAGATTGGCTTTAAATTCAATATTTTAGGATTAAGCAACTAGTAAAGATGATAATTATTTATTTTTGCCAACTACTTTCATACATGTTGTTTTTAATAATCATTTTTAATGAGTAACAATGAAGTTTTATTTCTGCCAATATCTTTTCATTTTTGATGAGCAATGTCATTCTTGTTACTGTGAAAGAACAAATTCTGGGATTCTGTACTGTTCTAAATTTTTATAATGGTTTTAGTCAAAGGTGCGAGAGTTGCAGAAGAAATGTGAGCTTCAGAATGTATTACATGAAGAGCTTGCACTTGAAATGGCTGCCTTACGCCGTTCTCAGGTTAAACAAGCATGGCGATCTCAAAGATCACATTCTGCTGATGTAAGTTATTTGTAAGCAATTTTGTAAATACGTAAAGTAAATGATGTTATTATTTAAGATTTTAAATTTTTTAGTTTAGTCAAAGTTTGAATTTTTTTTTTTTTAATATGCAGTTGAACACTATAATGATGAACCCCTGGATATAACAAATGAATATTTTGGTCTCATCCAATTTCCCGTCACTTAATGATATTTTATAACTTAATAGCAAACTTCCAAGAGTGGGAAAAATCTGATATGATTAACAATAAGAATATTTTGATTAAAACTTTTTGTATTTTTCATATTTCTTTCAGAATTTCTGCAAGTTTTAATAAAAAAAATTACTAGTTGTTAAAGTAATCCATGTTTAGGATATTAGATTTCACATTCCATCCATAAAGGGAAGCACCCTTATGTTATTTTCCTTTATTTTCAGTCTCTCTTTGCTGTATGTTCTAATATGTAAGGTAGGTGTGACATCCCACTCTAGAAAAGCGAGGAAACAATAAACATGTTTTAGGACACTGTATGGTGTATGTGAACATTCAGTCAAAAACATCAATTCAAAATGAGTTATCAGCTTCCATTTAAAGTCTTTGTTTGACCTGTCAAATAGAACTTTAATCAAGGCTAAATGCTGTGATGGAAGTTTTGAAATTTTCACTGGTCCAGGGAAGGAGGTGAATTTTATAGTATAATTTATATATAAATTATATTATAACTTATATTATATTTTATATTATAATATTTATTTATTTGTAGTTTTACAGCTTATATTTCTATTAGGGGTGAAATCTTTGAATCTTATGGGTTTGTTTTGTTTGAGTATAAATGCTCTTCAAGTTCTATACTCTGAGTAGAAGTTTTGCATTCTTTAGGTCTTTTGCGAAACTGATATTTTCTTTGCAAAGGTTATTGAATCTTTGTGTTGCAACCATACATATCTTGAGAGAAATGACCATGCTCTCAGTGGACATTGGATAAGACAATAGCTCATAAAATTATCTTCTTTTTTATCTCTTCCAGAAGAGCAAAACTCTCACATATTCTTTAACCAAGCTCTCTATATACTGTTTCTTTGTCAAAAAATCATCCACATGGCGAGCTTTAAATGTGAAGTTTGTGCATTGAAGATAAGGTGAATATTATTCAGAAAATACAAAATAGGTACAGCCAACTTGAGACCTGCCAAAAATACAATTCTTGAAATCTACAATAAATACCGTATAAAAAAATCGAACTATAATTTCTGATCATGGAAAAAATCTGGATCTGAAGAAAAAGTTGAGAAAGGGGGAGTATAGATATGTTGAAGAAGCATTTGCTGAAATAGTTTATCATTCAAAGAAGCAGTAATTGGTTAATATTTAGATTAATACCTCAGAAAAAAGGCCAATGAATTTGCCAAATATCTTGGAGAGTTTGAAAAGAGCCAGAAAACAAATTTAATAACTGCACTTAATAATAATTGCAATTAAATCCTAATGCTTTTTTTTAAATTAGGTTTATTAGTCACTTATTTTGGTAGATATGACGATGCTAATTGGTTAATTCTTCATTCAGTTATTTCAATATTTATGTTTTTGAGAAATAATCCACTTTTCTTATTGGATCAGATATAGCAATTCAAACTTCCAGTTCTTGAGGCTTGTTATAGGAAGGTATGACTGTTTATGATCTACCTGAATTTTTTTCCATTTATTGACTATTAAAAAATTTTTAAATGCCAGTAATTAATGAAAAATGCACAATTTATTGGGGATTTGAAACAAAGATTATAAACTTTTGCTTTTAAATTAATGTATGAATACATAATAGACATTCATATATAGTCTAGAGCAATAGTGAAAATACATTTTTCAATCATATAAAAACATTTGACATAAAGAGACATCTATTAAATAATATCTATAGAAATCATATAGTATCTCATTATGTTTCATAATGCTTGTAAACTACATTATTCATTAAAGGAATGCAACATTATCAAATGTAAAGAATGCAGAATATAGAAAATTTGAAAAATATGCAACTAAAATCACTTAAATGTCTTAAGAAACATGTAGCTTTCTTAATACGTAAAACAGCTTTTATGTAGTATTTCTAGCGTACTGATTAAAAAAAATTCTGCAAATTTTCATGGAATTAGAATAATGAGTCTGTGAAAAATACACTTGGCCATCTAAGTTCAAACACCATGAAGACAGTTGACTAATATGAACTTTGCATTATAAATGGAGCATGGTAGAATATGTGCCTGTAATGCCACCTAGAATCAGTGTTAAAAAAATGTTAGGTATACAGTATTCGTGTTTGTTTGACTAGAAGCTTAGAGTACACTTTGAATAAGAACAGATCATACAACAGTACACTTTGAATAAGAACAGATCATACAACATGTGTCCAGTTTTTATCATGGAAGAATAATAGCATGGCTCTAGATTATTATACCACTAAATTGCTACTTATATTGGTTGAAATACAACCACTGTCATGCAGGTATGGAACTGAGTATTCAGAAAAGGTGCTGGTTCATGATCATCTCAGTGCACCTGTGCTCTGTAGAACAGACATCTTATGTGAGTAACACACAAAGATCATAAGTCGCACCATGAGCTTGACACAGGATATATATGTGTAGCATGGCAAAAAGTGTCTATGCATATAGAGAAATGACATCTTTAGGATTATGGACTTTTTATCTGGTAGTAATTGTTTGTGTTTCTTTCACAGTACAATACAGGTGCCTACAGCTACAATAGTGTGTTGAATGATATGGATAGATGCATGAACTGTGTGACCCCTTTTACTGGCAAATCCTGTATTTGCATGCTATATTGCATGGACATGTACTCATATGGCACCCCCATGGAGAACTCTTTGGAATCTTGCTTTATCCTCATCATTTCAGCCCAGCTGTGGAAGTTATGATTTGAAGGGCAATTAGATGTGAATATGCATATCTGGTTCTGATCAGTCAGCGTAATAGCAATACAGACATATTAAGGCTTGTAGTTGTCCCATACCTTTAGAATCACCTTAGATTCACCTTCCAGGGCAGTGCATAACCACACGTCAGTCCCGGATCTAGCGGGGGGCAAGCCGGGGTTCTTGTCCCGGGCGGCAACTTTTGAGGGCGGCAAATTCAAATATAACACTGGATAGTTTTGGTATGTTGTTCGCTAAAACAGCTCTCTAATTTTAGTACAATGTTAGTAGTTTTAAAGCCAAGTTTAAAACCTCTTTTAACCCCTTCGAGCCAGGTAGTGAAAACACGCGCTTACCGCGGAGGCCGGCAGTGTTTTCTGCGAGCGTCTCTCCAGGGCTGGGGGCTTTTTTGCTACTAAGCCTAAATCCATGAAATTTCCGAAGTATCAACGCATTGTTTAATAATGCTCTATAGAGTATTTAAACGGCTTATGCTTTATAAATATTTATATATATATACTTTAATTACCTTATTTCTTGTTTAAATGCATATTTTACACATTTTATTTTAATTACTCACCATTTTATGACTTTTAACATTATACATCTGAAAACTAAATGATTACTTAAAATTCTCTTTTCGTATGAAAAATTTTAAAACAGGGATCTACACACAGTCCTACGTTACATTCCTTGAACTCGTAATAACTCATTTGCCGTTTTGGAGGATTTTTCCGGGAATGTGAACAAACGAAGCATCGTCGTCTCATTTTCTTATCAGTCTCTTCTGAACAAAGTTTTGGAAAATGTCTTTCGGTTAATCTTTCAGAATCAATATCTGAAATATTTTGCATCATTTCTGCTATTTCATGCTCTGTTAAACATTTTCGACGCTTTGACATTGAAACGGTAAAAACAGAAAGAATTCACATCTAACAAGATCTAATTATTTTCTAAAAACTGAACTGTAAACCGAAATATTCAATGCTTTAGCGCATATAAAACTTTTACTTACAATAAACAACTACCGCGTGCGAATAAAGTGCGATTTAAAGAGACGTCATCAATCACGCCATTCGGAAACATTTAGTTCCCCGTTTGTTTATATAATCAAAAACACGTGCATGCGAGTCATGCTTCTCTCATTTCGAGTAGAAGGTCTAATGTACATGTATCTGAAACCATATGGACATACAGTGCCATCTTGTGGCAGAAATTATAGTTTGAAAAACGTTTCAAGGTACTGGCACAAATCCGTGACAGTCGGTAGTAAACGCAACAATGCTCTGGCACGCCTGCGTGTCGGCAGTACATAAGTGTGTTCGTTGCTGGCACGTATACGTGACAGTCAGCGCGAAGGGGTTAAGAAGATTTGTAATTAAATACTATGAACCCTTTTAAAGAAACATGAGTTAAAATAAAATACAGCCGATTACAACTATAAATACAAGATCAAAAAAGAGGCCAATAGAGGGACTCCAGGCGTCACTGATAGAATCAGACTGACCCTATCAGTAACATCTGGATTCCCTGTATCATTTGCTGTGTAGGCCGGGCGTATTCAAATAATAAATAGAACGATAGTTAGAAGAAGTCACCTGGTTCCCATAGCAATGTCTGCTGGGAAATGGAGAAGTATCGTAACTATTTTTTAAGAGCTAACCCAAAAAATTAACTTTGGGCCATCCTGGACAAATGAAATAATTAAAATTAATATTCATCGAGTATATACAAGACCCAGATATTATGTCTTCAAGCTGAAGCAAGGCATTTACATTTTTTTGCAGCTAGTTGGGAACTTAGGCTCACCTTGGGTTTGACTCGGAACAGTGGAGCGCATGTTGGATTTTAAAGCTAGATTTATTCTTTCTTTCTTTCTTTTTTTTTTTTCTTTTCTTTTCTTTTTTTTTTTTAAAGTTTTTAGGTCTCTTTTGCACCCTTTCTCTCTTTTTGTTTTTAAGATATGCTTGCTTTTAATAGCCAGCACTATATTTAGCGACACACGACCATTTATTTAAGACTGTTCAGTATAATTATGTCAATTCTTAGTTATTCTTATTAAGGCAATTCATAGTGAATTTCATTTAGAT